CCCCCCCCATCTTCTTCCCTCTCATCTCCCAGACAGCCACCAGCAAATGGGTGGCGAAAATGGGAATCCAGGGGAAGCCTGCCTCAGCGGTAGTGTTCATTAACTGCCATTCATTACCACTAAACACAGCGGGGGGGATAATATCCAGCGGACATCAACTTCCGACTTAAAATGGACCACTGAGAGGAATAACCTTCTCATGTCGTGGATGCTGAGGCTGTGTCTGAGGTTAAAGTCTCAATTTCGATGAGTAACAGCCGTAAGAGGAGCAGGGATACCATTTTATTGTGCATTTAGCACATCCCTTTCAAGGATTGGGGTTATGTTACATCAGACTCTTCCACTCTGGAGATGTTTGCCAAGACTGAGAACTACTTTAGAAGTGTGTGCAAAACACTGTGTGCAAACACTGATATTAATCCATCTGTTTTGTCAGCACTATCCAAAAGGCTGTACATAAATGTTTAAACACTGCTTCAGTCAAGCGTTTCATTTCTGTGGACAAGCAAAACATTTCCAAAAGGTCTTAAAATGAAGATAAAATATTTGCCTGGCACTTCAAGCACGATGACAAAGTTATTTTCCAGTTGTGCAAAATTACCACAATAAGGCACTAGGGTCTGAAGCAAATGATCCGGAATCCTGCATGCCTATTTATTTAGAGCAGTTCAATCCCTGAATACAGAGTGTATGTAGTCAACTGCAACCTCCTAAGACATGGCTGTCCATCTATAATAAGAAAGCCAGGGAACACTATCGTGAATCAGAGAAGCAACCAAGTAGCTAAAGATAACTCTGGAGGAGTCATAGAAGCCAAAATAATCGAAGCACTGTAATGTGCAAGAATGGCTCAGTCAAAGTCCAAGACCTGAATGAAGTGAATGGCTGTAGCTAAACTTAAAATGAGATCTTAACAAATCCTCTCCTACCAATCTAAGTGAATTTCAGGTATTTTGCAAAGAACTTTAAACAGCAAAGTTGATGGACTTTATACGACTTGCAGCCATATTAAAACAAAAGTATCGACTTAATATAGTCTTGAGTAAATATTCTGAATAACCAAATACATATATGCTTATTGCATATCCAAATAATAGTAAAGAATTATTTCGAGTTGGTCTATCATATAAAATCCTCGTTTTAATGTCAATGGATACTTTTGCAAAGCACAGTACAATACGCAACACAACTCTGAAAGTGTTTTTTGTCATCGTATAGAATTTAGATAAACCCACGTTGCTTACTAACACAATTTATAAATTGGAGTGCTAACATTAATTGAAGACTGATAATGAGACAAATACTGTGATTTGGTTTGTAAACTGTGTTCCTCGTATGTAAATCTAAAGAAATTCAGATTGCAAAAGAGCAATGCAACAGAAGACGCATTTTAGATGTTATTGTGACATGACTGTGCGTTGATGTGAAAAACCAAGCAAGCTTTAAAATAAAAAAAAAAAAATAAAAAAACAATTAAAAACCAACTA